GGCTTCTCCATTAGGCAGCCTTGTGGCCCAGGCGGTTTTCTCGTCCTAAGAAAGGGGATGTCTGATTGACTCTGATTGCATTTTGTGATTGCGTAATAAAAGTACATCATCCTATAACACTTTTCATCACTCGAGAGCCCTTATGATTGCTGTGCCATGTAAAGAACCAGTTCCAGGAGGAAGAACTGGGGTTATGGTGGATTTTATCGGCACCAGGAGACTTACATAAATTTGAAGTGGATTCTCACGATGAATCTTCGCGACGTCAAATCACAAAGTTTAAAAAGCTATAAAGAGCAGCTCGATTCTGTATGATTTTGCTTGACTGTGTCTCAATACTAGCTCCATCGGTCCAGGATGATCTCAATAGTACTTTTTAAAAACTGAGAGATGTGAGGCTTGTGCACTATCAGTGTTTCTTTCTGTGGCGTTCTTCTAAACAATTGCACGGTATTCACTTAAGGTAAGAAAGACTTCGAGAATATCTCCATATGGCGTTAAATCCACACATTGCTGTTATCAAATGTGTCAAAGATTTGTGTTGTGAACTTGCTGTGAAACATCACAACAAATATAGCACTGCTCCAGTCTCAGCAGTCTCATATAACTGTTATCAGACGTCTAATTTTCTATGTTATGTTATATAACTGTTATCAGACGTCTGCTGTTATATGTTATGTAATTCAACTGTCATCAGACGTCTGATAACAGTTATATGATGTGAAACGTCTGCTAACAGTTACAAAAATCAGACGTCTGATAACAGTTATATGACATCAGCCGTCTGATGTCACTTAACTGTTATCAGACGTTATGTAAAATAACATATAAAATCAGACATCAGACGTGTGATGACACTTATATGACAGCAGATGTCTGCTGTCATATAACTGTTATAAAATCAGACGTCTGCTAACAGTTATATGACAGCAGACGTCTGATAACGGTTATATGATGTCAGACGTCTGATAACATTTATATCACAGCAGATGTCTGCTGTCATATATGTTATATAACTGTTATATAACAGTTATATATAACTGTTATATAACAGTTATATATAATATGTTATATAACAGTTATTTATATAACTGTTATATAACAGTAATATAACTACTGTTATATATATAACAGTTATATAACTGTTATAGAACAGTTATATACCAGTTTTATAACTGTTATATAACATATATAACTACTGTTATTTAACAGTTATATAACTGTCATATACAGTTATATATAACTGTTATATAACAGTTATATATATAACTGTTATATAACAGTTATATAACTGTCGTATACAGTTTATAACTACTGTTATATAACAGTTATATAACAGGTATATAGAACTGTTATATAACAGTTATATACTGTTATATAACTGTTAGATACAACAGTATAGAACTGTTATATAACAGTTATATGTTACTGTTATATAACAGTTATACATAACTGTTATATAACAGTTATATGTTGCTGTTATATAACAGTTATATAGAACTGTTATCTGTTATATAACTGTTATATAACAGTTCTACATAACTGTTATATAACAGTTATATAGAACTGTTATATAACTGTTAAATATAGTTCCCCGATTCTGATTGGCTAAAAGCACACGTTTAATTCACCATCTAGGAGGGTGTTATCCGCCTCGGCCTACGGCCTCGACGGATAAATTTTCCTCGATCTCCATAATTCTTCATAAGATACTCAGCCTCATTTATTAACTGTTAAATAACAGTTCTATATAACTGTTATATAACAGTTATACATAACAGTTCTACATAACTGTTATATAACAGGTATATAGAACTGTTATATAACAGTTCTATGTTACTGTTATATAACAGTATATAACAGTTATATAGAACTGTTATATAACAGTTATATAACAGTTACATATAACTGTTATCTAACAGTTATATACTGTTATATATAACTGTTATATAACAGTTCTATATAACTGTTATATAACAGTTCTATATAACTGTTATATAACAGTTCTATATAACAGTTATATAACTGTTATTTAACAGTTATATGTTACTGTTATATAACAGTTCTATAACAGTTATATATAACTGTTATATAACAGTTATACATAACTGTTATATAACAGTCGTATGTTACTGTTATATAGAACAGTTATATAGAACTGTTATCGGTTATATAACAGTTATATAACAGTTTTATATAACTGTTATATAACAGTTATACGTAACTGTTATATAACAGTTATATAAAACTGTTATATAACAATTCTACATAACTGTTATATAACAGTTATATGTTACTGTTATATAACAGTTCTATATAACTGTTATATAACAGTTATACATAACAGTTCTATATAACAGTTATATAACAGTTATATATAAGAGTCTATAACAGTTATATAGAACTGTTATATAACAGTTATAAGCCGAGAAAGCTTTCAAAGGTTGAAACCAGGAATATTTCCGAAACACTGAGCTGGATTTTATTGCCTTACCACCCGGGCCAAACGTAACATTATGAAACCCTTTGACGGCCTAGCAACTTCTAGAAGTTGTCACTTCAAAAAATGATGCCTCGTTGACCCTTTGCACAGTAAACTTATACTGCAAATAGACTTTTAAAATTCTTATGTTAAAAGTCTAGAATAAACAATGAAAAATATTTTCCAATAAAATTCATTAGCTGCGTATCGAAAGTGTCCAAAACCTGAACTTGACATCTTCGCAAAAAGTGTTGCTTGTAATGAATGTGAGAAGCCTTTTAAAAGCTTAAATTAAACTTAGATGTTGTAGTCACGATCGTGTTTTGAGCTAATTTTATGAATGAACAAACTCAAAACAATATACAGAGAAACCGTTTCTTGAAAATTTTTATTCAAAGTCCAAAAAGTTAATCCTTTAAAACAATTCGGAAAACACTATCTGGATCGTGGATCCGTTCACGCAGTGAAAAATTTATAAAACGTCTATGAAACATTTAAAAATACATAAATTCCGTTTCAAAAACGTAATTGTCTTGGCCATAGAGTGCAAAATGTACCTAAAAATTCAGCAAAAACTACGCTGACTTGGTTGCATTTCAAAACAGACCATGGGCTCCGCCGTGAAGAAAACAAGGTTGAATTCCTCGAAGGACGATTTCTTGATGAAAAGCTTCCCTTTCTCCACAAAAAGAAAGCTGAGCTTTCTTTTGAACTTTCTCTTTCCATTTTTTGTCTTTTAATGGTGTATTTTTAACCTTGAAATGCAGAACTCTTGTCTTAAAACATCTGCCTGGTGATCGCGCAGCAGCCATTTTGTTGAAAATGTATATCCGTCACTAAGATTTCCAAATATGGTCAAAATGAATATTCACGAGCATTGAACCCTTATGGGTTTCTGATACCAGTTATATACCAGTCATATCACGGACGCTAAGGTTACAGATTCCGACTTCCAAACTTCTGTAGATAGAGTGTTGAGTGCTTTTATATCTCTTAGTCTTCCGATAATCGAGATCCAGGAGATTAAGAAGCAAAAGACCTTCCCAACGGAGGAATTTAAAAACATTAAGAAGCGAGCTTGTGATCTCCAAGCTGAGTTAGATCAGACAAAATCTGACTGCAGGAGAAGCAAAGCAGACTTCAGAGTACAGAAGCTGATCTGGTTTCTGCAAGAGAAGAAAACAAGGCTCTCACCCAGGAAATAATTATAAGTGCGAAACTTCAGCCGTTTTGCATTCTTACATCGAGCCCACCACAGGAGATCATCAGGAGTTCGCATGACATTGAAAGAATCACAAACAAAACGGAGGAACTTTAAGGTGATGCCAACGGAGCAATCAGCACTGTGTATTTGTCAGGAAATCCAGGATGTGGTAAGAGTCAACTTCCCCGGAAAATCGGACAAGAGTTCTTTTCTAAACGAACCGGAGAACTGGCCTTTGTTGCTACCCTAAATGCAGAAAGCGTCGAGACACTTGCTGAATCTTACCTCAACCTTGGTAGACGTGTAGGAATAACAGAATACGCACTGACAAGCTTAGAAAATTTGAAAAGAGAGAAACCTGTGGAAGCAATTGGACAGCTTCATCGTTTGATTAGGTCCAAGGTAAGCACATTTACCGAGTGGCTAATTATCGCAGACAATGTGGTTGTCTTGCGCTCAGTCCAGGACTTCCTCCCCAGTCAAACTGGCAGTAAGGAATGAGGCCATGGTCTAGTGCTGATTACCACTCAAGATAGCTCTACAATTCCTTACAACGACGCTCCTTACATTTACCATGAATCGTTAACCAAAGGAATGAAGCAAGCCGAGGCAATGAAGTTGTTGGAAAATGTATCGCAATTAATTGACCAAGATCAAGTTAAAGCTGTTGTCGAAGCCCTTGATTATCAGCCACTGGCCTTAGTTGCTGCTGCTTATTACATGCAAACCGTGGTCAATAGTGCCTCTTCGAATTATGATTGGACAAAATATCTCCACGAAATATCAACGTACGAAAAAGACAAACAACTGAAAATCTCCTGGCAAATGAGAGTTCCGCGTATCCCAAGACAACACTGGTCGCTGTAGAAATGGCTCCTCGAAGAGCTATTAAAAACGATGAAGTTCTTCTTGAGGCATTCTTTTTTTTGTGATCTGCGCTCGGGAAGATCTCCCCCTTGAAGCCGTTTCGAAGTTTGTCATGGCCAAACTAAAGCACCAATCAAAAGAGCTCATTGAAGCGGCGATCAAAAGGTCCTCTTTAATCCTTGTTTCTTCAGAGGAAGGGAGTGAACAAACATATTTACACTTGCATAATATCGTACATGCAGTTTTAAAGGAAGGCCAAATATTCAACCTGAATTCAAGAGAGAACGATCACTGGCACGACATGGTCAAAATGGTGAATATTTTCCAGTCCCTAATGAACGAAAACAGAGAAAACTATGCGCTTTGAAAAAACTGACGCTCCACTGTAGATCTTTGCTTCAGTACATTACATCGGATTTCACTTCTGATGAAGGCACCATTTTCAAGATGTTATCACCCTTTATCGACATTGCTATAGTTGTCGATTGGCTACGCACAGTCTCATGTGTGTGTCTTGCATTCTACCATACATGGTTTGCGAAAAAATCGGTTGATTTAGCACTCATGCGCACCTTACTTAAGTATTTGAAAGAAAGTGACTCAAATACGTCAACCATCAAAGGGAGGATTTTCAGTCTAAGTGGAGCAGTGTACCGGCTTATAGGAGAATACCATAAAGCCAAGGAATTTCACGAAGAACTAAATATTCCCAAGAAGATTTTCGATAAAGAACCTGCCAATGTACAGCGGAATGTAGCAACGAGCTTTAACAATTTGGCATCAGTATACCTCTGCGTTGGAGATCACAGGAAAGCCAAAAAAGTTTCACAAAAAAGCGCTGAAGATTCAGAAAAAGGTTGTCGAAGAACATCATGCCGATGTAGCTAACACGTATAGCAACTTGGCATCAGTGTGCGAAAAAATTGGAAAATACAAACAAGCAAAGAAACTTCACAAAAAAGCACTGCTTATTCTTAGCCAGAATTTCGGTGAAGATCATGCCTACGTAGCAGGAAGCTATGAGAATTTGGCATCAGTGTACAACAAGATTGGAAGACAAGGTAAAGCCGAGGAACTTAACCACAAAGCACGGATAATTTGGAAAAAGATTTTCGGTGAAGATAAAGTCAAGGTAGCAGTTTTACCATTTTGGCATCAGTGTACGAGAAGATCGTAAAATACAATCAAGCCAAAGAACTTCAAGAGAAAGCACTGATTATAATACCAAAAAAGTGTCAGTGAAGATCCTGCCCGTGTAGACACAAGCTACAGAAACTTGGCATCAGTGTATTACACCCAAGGAGAAAGCAATTAACCCAACGGAACTGACTATTTGGAAAAAGATTTTCGGTGGAGGTCATGTCGGTATAACAGCATGTTATAACAGACTCGTGACATGAGTGTACGCAAATATTGGAAAGTACAATCAAGCTAACAAAGCACTGATTGTAGAAAAAATGTTTTTGGTGAAGTCGGCTGTTTGTTAAATTCGTACTTTGAAAATACTTTATGCTCGAAAATATGTACAGGTGGCGTAAAAATGTTTATACATTTATCATACCTCCCGGTAACCATTTTTTCACCAGATTTTTCTTGCACTCTCTAGTATATTCGAATACCCCATAATACACTTTGTTGCCCCCCAAATTTTGCATCAACTATTGGTTTTACAGATGCTCCAAGGAAGACTGTATATTACCAAATATATAAACAAGCGAGCCGAGCAGTTGTCTGGGGGTGGGGAAAGGGCCTCCACGCTTTTCCCTTCCCAGAGTTGCGCTCGGCTCGCTTCGCTCGACGATGTGTTTTTTTCTTTTTACCCCACTGAGGAGCCTGGAGCCCGTTTCTCGAAAGTCCCCATAATTAACAGGCCCAAAAAGCTGATGTTGTTTACATTAAAGATCGAGGTTTCAATAGTTTTGCAGATAATATGATAAAACTTACAGTGAATAAAACAAAATGTACTGTTTTTTTCGCTAGGAAACGCGCTTAAGATTTTGACCTGAATATTTGATTTCGGGCCCGTAAAGTTACCAGGACTTTCGAGAAACGGGCCCCAGGACTCCTTTCGAGAGACGGGCCCCTCGTCCCAGGCCAGCCCTGCTTATAATTTTTCAGGATGGAACACAGGGATTCAAAGTAGGTTGGGGATTTTGACGGCAACAACAAAAAAACTGAGCGTAACCGAGCAGGTTTCTAAACACGCCTCCCAAAACGAATGTAATTTCGCATGGCTTACAACTAAGCAGGGAACTAAATATTGTTCATAATTTATTGGTTTTATTGACAGAAAATACACTTTACAATAATTCTTTACAACACCTAACAATTCTTGCCAAGTTCTCTTTTTTTTTTTTCGGCAAATTAGCCAGACATGCTCGGACAAGATGGATGTGTAACGCAGCTTTAAGGATAGCCCTTTTAACTGGGAGAATAACTCTATCTTAGCTAACTCATACAGCCGTCTACTCTACTCTTACTGTAGAACCTCGTTCAATCGTCGCGCAACTAAGTTACGAGTTCATTTGAGTCCCAGGAAGTATCTTTTGCTCATAAATTGTGTAGAGTCTAGTTTGTGGTTGCGCGAACAAGCTAAAAAACAAGTCTGTTTAGTATGAAACCACAAACTTGCCACCCAAAACACATTTTCATAAATCTTAACTTCGAGTTTTATCTTCGACTGGATGTCTTTTCAACGTCCATCGATTTCCTGGATTTGCAAAAATCACTCTTGAAAATGCCATTTTAATGTCACTGAATTAACTAAACCACATCCATAAACAAGAGAAACAGCCTCTTGCTTTTAGGCTTCGCTAAAAATATTATACTAATAATTAAGTATCGTTTCGGGATTTGAGGTCAGAATAAAATTTAAATAAGTGCAAAGATCACTGATGCAGAAGGGAAAAATGCTGGCTTGTTCTCCTTTCCAACTACAAGACTTTTCGAAGCTTGTCAAAACTCTAGAAAGGAATTCAAACAATATTAACTTCACTTTATAGGATGTCTGTCATTGAGATCATTATCATTAATCACCATCGTCCTCATCATCATCATCATCATCATCATCATCATCATCATCATCATCATCACCATCACCATCACCATCACCATCACCATCACCATCACCATCACCATCACCATCATCATCATCATCATCATCATCATCGTTGTCGTCATTATCATCACTATCATCTTGATATTATTTTTCCTAAGGGGGCAGACTATAAAAATAATTATTGTTGCTGCTGTAAATATCTAATGTCGACACTGTTCATGAAAAAATTAATTTGTTATATGCTGCTTGGAAAATCGGGTGCAGTAGAGAGAGATCAAGAAACCGAAAATTGTACAGTGTATTGTCTGTAGACTCAAAGACAACACAGACGGACATCTTTGGGACTGGCACTATGTGTCCACCTCAGAGCAGGGTCTGGAAGAGGGGGTCTGGATAACGGGTAACGCTGGATAACGGATCACGGGTTAAATTTCCGTTCATTCACGAATCATTATTACCTTTTGGAGTCTTTTGACGTGATTAGATGATGAACTGATCAAGTCCATCAACAATTCTTAGTGGTTTCTAAACAACTATAGGCAAGAGACCCCGTGATGGGAAGGAAACAAAAAGTATAGTGCAGATCAAACTGGCGATTCCCTGCTTTTTGTTTGACCACTACAAAGTTGACTGGCAATGAATTTAATTGCTATGAAATTTTTCACAAATTACATGGTTTAACTTTGAACCCTTGTCACAACACTAACATCTGTTTCATCGGTAAAAATCTTGATTCACGGACTACAATGTTAGAGGATCACGCGTCACAGTGAATATATAATTCACCAATCACGACCGTATTTCATGAATTTTCCCGATTCACCATCTGTTTACTGGTCAATTCACGGATCGCGCGAAACCCCTTCCAGACCCTGTTAGAGAGATGTCTGTCTTAAAGCCGAGAGTCAACTAAAAAACTATAGAATGGCGTGGAACAACTAAAGGTGTCTGTCTTACTTATAGAGGCGTTCCTTAACAGAGAGTTAAATGTAGCTCCAGACCAATGAGTGCACAATAAAATTCCTCAGATGTTGTTTATAACTATTTGCATTTTAGTATTATGAGTGACAGTTAGAATTCCTAATAGCAGGAAAAAGGTTCAGTTAACTTACAACCTGGCCACTGATGTTTCTTATCACAGAGGGGTACATAGATCACTCCCATCAAGTGTTTCTTTACAATCTGTCCATCTTCCAGCTTATCGTGTTGTTCCAGAACTTGGTTTCTACCCTCTGGACCCACGGGACAAATCAGTCGACCACCAGGTTTCAGTTGTTCAAGAAGCTTCAGGAAAAATAAAGATAACTTTTACGAGTTTCTACATAGAGAATTGTCGTGAGTATGATACATGTATAACTGAACCCAGTTAAGGAGGCCTGTTCCACTCGCTACATTTTTCAGATTTGGCAAAATTGTCACTTAATGATTAATTTTGGTGTTTAAATGATTTTGCATAATTTCTGATGTGGCTTTTTATATTTTTGGCTTTTCCAATAATGCTGCTAGAGGAGCAAACTTTTTTTCACCCCTTTGTTTTCTTTTCCTACTTTCATCAGAAATTGTGAGGTGTTTTGAAGTGGGGTAGGCTGTATTCTAAGCAAAATTGAAGGGAGCCTAATGCTCTGAACCTGTGAAATTAAGGGTGCCCAGCATATGATTCTTACACAAAGAGTACAATTTCCTTAGACTGCAAAACAGTCGGTTTTTTTCTCAAAATCAGTTTAGAGTGGTGTAAGGCTAGTGTGAGAATGTCACGCATGCTTCACGCGTGAGCCTCACATGCCAAAAGGGCGTGTGCTCTCCCCAGTCTTGCCCTCTGTTTTCAGTCTTGCTCCAGACCTTTTGTTTGACTGTTTGGGAGTACATGAATTTGCAAAACAACTGACTGCTTTGCAGTCTACAATTCCTAGTCACCAAAGAGCAAAATTGAGGGGCCATTGGGTGATACAAGAGCAGAGCCCTGATCCAGAGACAGGGAGGCAGCAACTGAAACTGGGAAACTCCTGATCAAATCAAGAGCCAGGTTAGAAATCTAAGTAGATTTCTCCCTTACAGCTTGAGGCAGGTCTGCAGCTGCAGCACCAACATGAATTGCATCATACGGTTGTCCTGGTTCATATCCTTTTCTGCCGTCTCCACCTATGGTAAAAATAAGGACTGGATAAGGTAAAAAAAATTTCTTTTAATCCTGTCCTCCTGATGATTTTTTCAAGCTGCCAAACTCTTTATACTGCTCTTCTATATCTGCCAACTCAGGCAAAATTACATGTGTGTCATTTACTGCAGATTGAAACTAAGCACAAGTGCTTGTAAGGAACAATCCAAGGTGGCAAGAACAAAAACTTTAGCGCTACATATGTTCATGCCAAAGGAAAATAGAAAGATTTAGATTCGAGGACGAGAACTACTATGAGTACGAGATTTGACTTAAAGTTTTTTTGTGTATTCTCAAAAAAATAGATACCCCGATTTAAAGCTTCATTGTACTTTTGATTCACCAGAAAAGTTAGCACTGTTATGTTGATAACTCATTTCCGCCACTACAACAGTCTCGCTAAGACTTGTAGTAGAATGATAATGGCTATCACGTTTTTCTGCCAAAATGATGCTAGTTCATGGGTGAGCAATACTCAGTATTGAGAAAATCTTGTTCTCATAGTTGTTCTCATCTCAGAATCTAAAGGCCTCTAATAAACCATGGTGGGTAAAGAGGGTTTTGTGACACATTCCTTTAAACATGTTCATGCATGGCACAATGCCACAGGTATAAAAAAAAGCTTGCATGGCATTGGTTTGTTTTCAATAGTTCCCCACTAGTTGTGTTTGTGTCAAAGATGTAAACCAGCTTTTTACAGCTTTAAAAAATAGTCAAGCCTAAAACAATGACAAGGTTTTATTGTACAAAGTAATATTACAAGTAAGTTGTCCATATTCACTTCTAAAAACTTACATATAAGTTTTACTCTTTCTTTAGCTAAGAGATCAGGGTTTCCTTTTTTGATATTTGCAATGGAGTCTTTCACTAGCTGATCAATGTGATCAATGCCATAAACTTTGCCTGTTTCCCCAACCTAGAGCCAGAAACAGTTCTATCAAATATACAATGTAGTATGTAAATAAAAGAAACGATGTAACTAAGTGCAAAACTGAAGTTGAACCAAGGTAAAGGTTACTCCCACTTACCATATAAGCCATAGCAGCAGTAAGGTATCCACTGCCAGAACCAACATCAAGGGCACAAGCTCCTTCTTTGAGGTGGTTTTCAAGTTGCTGCAGTGCATACACATGCTGAAGGTTGAAACGCATATTAGTCAGTATGGCTAACAATAAAATGTGACCATGTTTTTCACCAGTAACCTTTTAAGCTCCAATAGTGACCCACATCCAACTTTTCCCAACAATGACAGTGTTTGATCAAACATACAGATCATAAGAAGGAATAAAAGGATCACCAAAGATGATCCAGAAATGAATAGATGATTGATAACAGATTCTCCCAAGCAGAACCATGTATGAAATGTATGAAGAACAGTGTGGAGAAGATGCATGTTGATGTTGAGGCTTAAAGGGGTAAGGGAGTCAGAGTCAGAGTTGTTATAAGAAGCATAGAACACTTTGATAAAGAAAAAACAACATTCCAATTCTACTCATGACTCTGTCGCTTTTATCTCATGAAAAACTAGGTTGTCAGGGTCGCAAGCAGAAGAGGAAGAACTGAACGAATCATAACACGTGGAAAACAGCATTGTGATTGGTTTACTCTTCTGTTTATGCTTGCGATGCTGATAATCTGGATTTCACTATATCATAAGTGATAGAGTCATGAGCAAAGTCAGAAGAAAATTAATGGAAATGTTACGATTCTTCCAACTCTAATTCCACTGCACTTGTGACTCTCATTTTATATTATCGCACTGTCATAAGTGCTCTTATGACTCCACTTATGACTCCAACTCTGACCCCACCAGTATGTGAATTAAATGGGAGGAAGCATATTCAAGTGGTCGGCACATCAATTTCATAATCCAGGAGTCCCAAGTTCACTTCCTGCTCATAAAACCCCAGCTGGACTGCCAAACAAAGTCAAGTCAACATTATTAGCAAATTGACCATGTTTATAGTGAAATTGCTATCAACCACAAATTGAAATAATTTTTAATACTCACCATGTGTGGTGCACTTATTGTTGCTTGGAAACCTTTTGAAAAAGAAAAGAACAATAATCTCAACTAATAATTTTCATTTGGAATGATAAAGTCAGAGTACATGTGTGCAGCCCGCACAGCTTTATACTTAACCCTTTAAGCCCGAATATCTGCATACAAATTCTCCCAACTGATCTCTATACATTTCTTTACTGAATCAGTTGGGAGAATTTGCTAAAAGATCAAAGTATTTTCCCTTCGGTCATTATTTCATGAGAAAGTAATAGACATGGTCATTGGAAAATAAGATGATGAGCATCCCTGTTGCTTTAACCGGGGATTCCCCCCTGGGACTACCACATACTACACCAAGGGGAATGTGCATCACAACACATGCTTGTGGTCTTCCTTTGCGTGAAATGAGTGTCAAGAAATACTTGGCAAGAAACTCTTTTATGAAAGGGCCGGTGATGCTTGTGACCTCACTTACCCTGCAAACAGAGGTTTCTCTTTTGCATGGTTTTTAGCATTTACGAAGTCATCTGCGTCGCTTATCGCTCATGTAGTTTAAACAGCATCTTCTCACTTTGAAATGTTTTGAAATCTTTTAGTTTCACATAGGGTGTCTAGAATGGAAGGCCAATATTTTAAACCATAAATGCCAATATTCAGCTAGCCATCTCATTTAGGACTCTAATTATATAAACTTTCCGACAGGCAACTCCAGAGTAGGGGGGTGGGGGGAGGGTGTGGAATAAACCTTCACACCTGCCAACTCTCCTGGTTTTCCCGGGAGTCTCCAGGTTTTTCATCAGATCTCCCGATCTCCCGATCTCCCGGTTAGAGCACCAAATCTCCCAGATAAAATGGACTTTTGAACATTTCTGTGCTTTAGTTTGAAATTTAGTCCATTTTTTCACAAAATTCGAACTTTTTTTTATTCATTGTACAGTTTCTGGGACATTTTTGCACATGTTTAGTCAATGACAAAGATTAGTTCGTCATTACAATGATGCAAGCGCATTTTGATCCCATGTACGTCATGTAAGACGTCATATAATGTCCTAAGGCAATTTGTTGGCGAGGCGGGGGGGGAGTGGGGGGTTTGGTGCTGTTGATACTCGTGGATGGGGGGGGGGGGGGG